GATGTCATGATACAAATGATGTGAATTTGCATTCTTTGTGCAGTGACAACATTACAGACATGATGTTACTCCCCACCCCACCTCACCCTCCAGTGAAGTAACTGATTGAGGAATTGTTTCATGCCAATGCTTTTGGGATATACCACCTGAATGAACAGAAAGTATAGCTGACTTGAAACTGGGCAAATTGTAGGGAACAACAGAGGCAATGCTTATATGTGGTTATCTTGAAGATGGCTGTTTCCTTCTGTAACAGCAAGATGCTGACAACAGACTTTGTTTCTTAGTGGATTTCTGATATGCTGTAAACAGGCAATCAGTACCTTATATGCTAACTTAATTGTAGGAACAGCTCCACATCTCCCCCTAAAGGGTTCTTTCCCCATACACAGGATCTTGTTCAGTGCTGTTATAGAACTTGCATGCTATAATTTAGAACAAGTTGTTCGGGGGGGGGGGGGCAAGGAGAAGAGAGACACTTTTCTAAAAGAAAAAAAAAGGACAAAAATCTGTCCTTTTGTATATTGACATTTTATCAGATTTCCTTTTAAGCCAGCACGAATCTGCCAAACTTGATTTAAGGCTGTTTTAGCTTTGTCTCTTGCCAATTGAAATTCAAACTCAAAAACCTGAATTGTGATTACAACAGTGTAGCTTTCATTTGTTGACCATGTGAGCACAGGTTTAATTAGGTTCTTGGTGCAAATGTTGGTAGAAAAATACACACTTAGGATTCCTATTTATTTTTTAGCATTCATCAAATTATTGTGCTGTACTTGATAAGATAACTATGGCTGTAATCCTATGCATGTTTTCTGGGGGACAGCTTATACTCAGTGTGACTTATTTCTGAGTAAGCTTTTTTAAAAGTTAGTGCAAGACTTGTATGTTAGACAGAATGTGGTGGCAGACTAAAGTGATAGAATTCAAACCTGTACCAGTTTTGACTGCATGTGGGTGAAGGGAATCTTTTTTAAAAAAAAAAATCAATTTCAATTTAAAAATGAACATTTATTGTCTACGAATTGGAATGTCACTGCAAAATAATTAGTCTAGCCTGTAACATGGTGTTAGACTTTAATATATGGAAGAAAGTTTGTGCGAGTATTTATATGCCTCGGGGGAGGAAAAGTTTAAGATAATGGATGACCAATAAGAAATAAAATCTTTTGCATGCAATATGTAGTGGTAGGAATTGAGAAGTTTAACTTTTCAGACTTTTGCTCCATTCCACCTAATGTTTAGAATGAGTCTCTGTCTGACTGCATCAATTTAAAATATTCCAAAGTGACTCTTTGGTGACTTTCAAATGTCTTTCCTCTGGTTTAGAGAAAAACCTCAGAGACAACTTTAGGCCTCAAGTACTTGTGCAATAAATTCCTCATGGATCTGCTCTTTATGACAGTTCTGTAGCTTCTCAATAATCAGAAAAGGACACAGTAGCTTATTTCTTTGATTGACTTTGAACACAATACCTGTAATTGTCAGATACAGGAATAGGCATGCTGGTATCATCCAAAACTTTAAACTTCCATCAGCTCTTGCCACCACAGTCAATTATATGAGTTTGTGGGATTTATAGTATAAAACAGGCTTTATTGCCTTCTTATGGTCTAAGTCCAAGGAATACATACCCTCGGTTTTTTTTTCCCCTGCAGCTTTAGAAGCAGCTCCATTCATACGCGATGCCTCTCTACAGAAGTTCTTAAACGCATTGGTTATAAATGGTCAGGGATAGAACCATCAAAATTTAGAAAGCTGCCGTAACTGAGTCAGACCTTTGACCCATCTCCCTGAGAATGGTTTACACTGACGGAACTAATTCACCAGGGTTTTAGAGAGAATCTTCCCAAATCCTGCTTAGAAATGCCAAAGATTCAGCATGAGTCATGTTGGATGCAACAAACTGCTTTTATCATTGAGCTATACGATAAAAACATAGAAATTTATTTTCTCTGAAGGCAAATGCAGGGTTTACTGTCTGTGTTGTAGATCAAAGGATCCAGCTGCTCATAAAAGAGACTAAGGAAAGATACGGATAATAGACTTCCATGCATGCACTAGTCCTTTATTCTGACATCACAAGTAAGTAATCGGTTTCTGAAAGGTCCAGGTTCTATGTCAGGATCTTGAAAACCTTCCCTCAGATAAGCATATTAGTTTCAGAACTAGCTATTATTTATTCACCAGCCTTTTTGTGGTCAAGTTTGGCAAAGCAGCCCTATAATTCTATGCAATAAACAAACAAACAATAAATATCTTTGATCAAACTGCCTCTGCTTTAGTTAGTCACTTAACTGATTTTAATCTCACTGTTCAGTCCAGAAGGATCCCCAAGATATTTTCCTTATGATACTATTATGCTGTTTTACAGCATAATTAACCATTCAGTTACAATATACAGTTAAATTTATTCATTTCTTGTGTATAATATTAGGTATTGAAAACAACAAGCAAAAGCTCCCGATAGCCATTATCAGCAAGTAAGCTAAACTTTCAACTGCATTAAGAAATATAATTATTGTTTTCCAAAAAAGCTTCCTAAAACACAGAGGAGATGTAAGTCAATAGACTTCCTCTAGTGTAGAGTTCACAGAAAGGGAATTATTTTGGCGGGACTTGGGTTTTGAGTCTCTTCACTGCCAATCCATACTAACTACTAACATATAGAAGTGGTTTGCCATTGCCACCTTCTTCCATAGTTGATGTTCCTCCTCCTCCTCCTCCCCTCCTCCCCTCCTCCCTCTTCTTCCTTTTCTTCCTCTTCTTCCCCCCCCTCCTCTTTTTTTTTTTTTCTCCTCCCCCCCCCCCCCTCCTCTTTTTTTTTTTTTCTCCTCCCCCCCCCCCCCTCCTCTTTTTTTTTTTTTCTCCTCCCCCCCCCCCCCTCCTCTTTTTTTTTTTTTCTCCTCCCCCCCCCCCCCTCCTCTTTTTTTTTTTTTCTCCTCCCCCCCCCCCCCTCCTCTTTTTTTTTTTTTCTCCTCCCCCCCCCCCCCTCCTCTTTTTTTTTTTTTCTCCTCCCCCCCCCCCCCTCCTCTTTTTTTTTTTTTCTCCTCCCCCCCCCCCCCTCCTCTTTTTTTTTTTTTCTCCTCCCCCCCCCCCCCTCCTCTTTTTTTTTTTTTCTCCTCCCCCCCCCCCCCTCCTCTTTTTTTTTTTTTCTCCTCCCCCCCCCCCCCTCCTCTTTTTTTTTTTTTCTCCTCCCCCCCCCCCCCTCCTCTTTTTTTTTTTTTCTCCTCCCCCCCCCCCCCTCCTCTTTTTTTTTTTTTCTCCTCCCCCCCCCCCCCTCCTCTTTTTTTTTTTTTCTCCTCCCCCCCCCCCCTTCTTCTTCTTCTTCTTCTTCTTCTTCTTCTTCTTCTCCCTCCTCCTCCTCCTCCTCCCCCCTCCTCCTCTTCTTCTGTTATGTCCTTGCTTAGCCTACAGCCCTAGTATATCTTGATGGAATTTCATCTAAGCAGTCGTCAGATCTTATCCTGTTTTTGTTTTCAAGAGCCTCCAACTTTGGCTAGCTGCTTCCAACCTTTCTGTGGTTACTTTGTGAGCCTCAGAAATCTGTGATAGTGAAATAAGGACCTATTAGTTTACCTAAACATAAAATAAAATTCAAATGAGAAATGAGTCCCACAATATTGAAACGAATCTGCATTTAAATGTTGCCTCTTTTGTCCCTATCCCAAGGCTACAGACTTTGTCAAAAATACAATGCTAACATTGGTCATTTGAGTTCCTATTGATGAAACATACATTCCACTACTAGCCTGGAAATCCTTCTTTAAAAAAAAAAAGAAAGAAAGAAATAGTGATTTTTGTTTTTAGATAAACGGTAATTTTATATAGTGAAGGAGGATAAGTTAAATATAACAATTAAAATAAACTGAATGTTACAAAAAAAGAAGAAAAAATGTAATAGAAAAAAGACCCATTTAGTAACTATAAATAACTCTATAAAATTAATTCAGTCATTAAGCCTATCATTACATCTAGACAACATAGCACCATATTATGTAATTTTCTCATTTTTATAACACGGGCTTTTCAAAAATATATAATAAGCTCATATCCTGGATCCATTCCTTATAATCAGCAGAGTAAATATCTTCCCATTTAAGTAAAATTCTCCAAGTTTGATAGAGCTAAAGCTCTTCATGAGTTGACATATTCCATATTTTAGGGATATAATTCAATATCACATTGAGATACTTGATCATAATATTTCTTCTCAATTATATTTACATATGTGGCAATTTTAAGCCTAAACAAGGCAAATCACATGGGTTGAAGAACCCTCAGACTTCTTAGCTCACTAGCATAAGACATTGAATCTCCATCTCTTTTTAAAGGGATTCTTTAAGAGTTTCAGCTCGGAAGTCCTGCTTTCTCTTTAAATGTTACAATATCTACTATATAGTAATGCAATCCCAGAATAGGATTGAGTTGAATATTACTTTTACCCTCAAAACGTCCTCTCCCCAAATGTGCTAGTCTTATTAAAATTCTTTAAAACTTGCTCTGAAAATTATAACAGATGTCTTGCCTCAACAGCCCCCTAGAGTCATTTCAATTTTAGCTTCAGGCAAATTTTGGTGACATTTTTATCCCAAGATTCACTACCTTGCAATCTGTTATAAACTAAAAAAATTAACACACATTGATTTTAGAAATTATGTTTCAATAGGTATACATGTACACTTTCCAGGATAATAATACTGCCACTAGACTGGGCCATTACTGCTGCAGAATATGTATTGGTTACATCTATGATGCTAAAAATTACAGGTAACAGTTCAAAGAAGCTTGTGCTCCATCAACATGCTATTTTCTTTTAACTTTTCTTTCACGAATATTCTCACCTCTGTGTTCAAATTTGCTGGTAACTTATACTGTTTTTTCTTATACTCAGCCAGCAGCTTGTTTCTCTTGATTTTTAAAAAATTATTTATATAGATGAATACCTAGGTATGCATGTACACATGCACACTTATGCTTTTAAATTTTTTATTTTCCAGGCACATATCAGTTCAGCTCTCTAGAGTCTGCACCACTTGGGACTTCGCTTGGCAGAATAAAAGCCAATGACCCCGATGTGGGTGAAAATGCTGCAATTGAGTATAGCATTGCTGCTGGCGATGGATCTGATATGTTTGATATCATCACTGACAAGGACACACAAGAAGGGATTTTAACAGTCAAAAAGGTTTATTTTCCTTCTGTCTTTTATTGAACTTGGCACTCCAGGTTTTAGATTTCCTTTTCAAACAGGAGGATGGATCAGGTTTCATAAAAGGTCAACTGCAGAGAAACTAGCATGTGTCAAGCTTCAAACCTTGCAGCTTTTCCTTTCCTTTCTTCTTTTCTTTCTCCCTCCTTCCCTCCTTCCCTCCCAGGAGATATTCTTAACTGTCCTGGCTTGTCAGATGCATTGAAACTTGCTGGCATGTAGCATTAGAAGGATTAATGTGAAAGTTCTACTGGGGATGTAAGAGAGGTAGGGTAACTTTGCAAGCTGGCCCACCAACTGAAGTCTACTATTTGCTTTCCAAAGGCTGGAAACAGCCAAACTTTTATGTGGTGCCTGAAAGCAGGATGCTAAGGAAGTCCAGTTTCTGATGAGGACTTTGTCCAGATAACTTTACTGGGTACCCGCCCACTTTTCCAGGGCTTATAACTCTTATTCCACTGAGTTCTATAAAGACAAACAAAAGAGGCAAAATGGAATGATTCTTGTCAGAAGTACTTGCATTCTGAAGCTTCCACTTGCGGTATTATTGTGATAGAATCTGAAAACTCTTGACTTTTTGAGATGTCTCTTCATAGTATCCTCCATGCATTATGCTGGCTCTGTCAAAGTAAATGGGGAAATCAGCTGCAGGCCAAGAAATTTGTTGGACAAATTAGAGTTCCAATAAGGAATCACTGGCTCTAGGCATCTGCTCTCACATCTCTCTTGATGGCCCATCCACCAGCTAGCAGATGGTCTCTTCCCAGAGATCATCTTTAAAAAGAGAGAAAATCAATCTGTGTGTTGATCTGCAAATATGTGCCATAGTTATCCCTAGTGCCAAAGGGTAGTGAAGAGGCACAGTATGCACCTGGAGTGGTGTGTATATGTGTGTGTGATTAAAATTACATCAGTATTATAAACATTGGATCCTTTCTTCTGTGATGATAGTACAGTTCAGGATGCAGCTTCAGAAGTAATCCAATAACAAGACTGGCATTACTTCTAGGCTAGATTGAGAGAAATAAGAAGCATGACATTTCAAGAGTTTAATGGCAGACAATTTTCTTCACTGACATACTCTCTTTCCCCATCTCTCTCATAATATTATGAATCAGGACAGTACTGCAGCATAACAGACTAAGATAGCATTGTAAAAGCATGGTTAGAGAATGGCATGAGAGCTTTCTCTCTTCATGTAATTTCAGTTTCAATCACGTGTTTCATATGAAGTAGGTCCCTCAACAAAAATCCTGAATACATAATTTTAGTAGAGAAAATTATCCTTTTTTTCTCCATCAGGTCTTTTGTGGAGGGCCAGATTTATATTGGTGGATCCATTTCCATTTTTAATTTCCTATAATTTTTCATTTTATCTAAGGTAGGCTTTAAAATAATTTAAACCAGTGATAGGCAATCTACTGTCTTCCCAATATTTTGGTCTCCCACAGTTCATCGCCAATAGCAATAATCAACAGATTGATGGAAGTTAGCATCCAAAATATCTGCAAGAAATTAGATTGACTCTTTCTTATTAAACTGAGGTTAATTCAAAGAAGTCTGGAACAGAAACCATGGTTTATTTTTAATTTAGTTAGTTTTATTAACTACAAATTATCCGGGGACACTAATTCAATTTCATAGGTCAGCTATAAGAAATACTTTCTATCTTCATTAGAATTCCAAATTTAATCTTGATTTATTAGTTTATCCCAAAGAAGCGACACAGATAGCATTTGCATACACAAACTTTGAAAAAGGAAGCCACTGTTGTCATCCCTTAGAGCCATTCCTACAACCAGTGATTGTCCTAATGGCAGCCATTGCAGGAATATGCTTCAATAAACCTTTGGCTAGGGCCTTCTGCCTGCCTTAACCTGCTCCATTTATCCATAGTGAGGTGAAAGGCAGGGGAAATCCAGCTGCTGTGGCTGGTAAAAGGTTCTGTAGCCACCTGCAAGGACACCATTAAGGTATTGCACTAGATACAGGGAGAGCCAGGTCCAAGACTCAGCCATTGAAGCAGCCTGCCTTTTGTTCTTTAAAGTTTCCATCTCTTTCTTTTTGAGGGTATCTGCAATTCCATTCAACCACCTTTTTTTTTTCTCTTTTAACCCATCACTCTTTTTCCATAAATTTGCTTTGAACTTCAATCCTCATCCCTTTTTTCTCCCTGACCAAACAATCCCAATGGATATCATTCCCTTTTGTATGCAGCACCACATTCATTCAGCATCCATTCATTCTTTGCTAGTCCCAAGTCCCACTTTCACTCCAGTTCAGTTCACTTATTTCTATTCCCATTTTTCCCTTCAAGATCCACTTTTGGCCATACCAAACAGTGGTCTGCCTCACATTCAGTATCTCTCATCACTCTTTCATCCTTCAGTAATTCTCTCAAGCTTTCCTAGAAACTAATCAGTCATGCTTTTAGACTTGCATCCATTCCTTTACCATGCCTGCATATGAACAGACTTGTGCTTAAATCATGTATTCAAAACAAATGGACCTTTTTCTAAGCAGCTAATCACCAAGAAGTCACCATTCTAATTCATTCTTGGTTCTCCTAATGGCCCAGTCACTTTTTCCACATTTTCTTGTCATGTTCCCAGCCAACCATTTATATCACCTAAAAGAATATTTTTCCTCCTGTTCTCCATTAATTTAGAATGTTGCACAATTTCCCCCCACAAAAGTCATTCCTGCTTCTTTCATTATTACCATTCACTGTAGTGTAATGTGCAACAATCACCAACCTATGGGTTCCTATTTTTCATATACACCTACAACAATCTATTTGTTGTAGGTGTATATGAAACTATTCATATTTTCTGATTTTTTTTTTTAAATTTAACTTACATCTTCATTTCCATGTTAGGATTTATTAGTTCCATTCCACAAGGTTCAACCACCTCCATTCCATTCTTTTTTATACTTACCTTTTCTCTTGGTTTCAGTGTCTTGAAACTTTTCTATTATCTTTCTTTTAGTATATTTATCAGTTCATACTGTTTACCGTTTATTCCCTTTATATTCCAAGTCAAAGTCTTCCATATGCTATAGCCATCACTAGATAGGCAAATGGATATTGACTTCTGCTGCCCATCATGACTTTAATCAATCAAGGCTTTCACATAACAGTTTTTTAGTGAGATTGGCCTTAGCTGTACCTGTACTACATGCCACATTTCTTGCTAACAGTAGAGATAATATTTGCAGATCTGGGCACATTTTAGCCAGCATGACATAGTGCAGTGAAGTCCAGATTTACCCAAAGCATGCATGCAACATTTGATATGTACATCCCACAATCAGCCACAGAATATTTGCCTTACTCAACACAAGCTATGACATGTAATCATGAAAGCCAAGATACTGTTGCCCATATTTCACCCATATACTAACCCATACTCTTCAGCGTTTGGTGATTTGCTTTTTAAATTTGAGCTTGTAAAAAGAAGACTGTTACTCATATTGCAGTATATTCTTGCAGAAACTGCTGAGTTGAGATTAATTTGAAATGATTTTAGAAAGATTTATACCAAGGAAGACCAATTTCTGGCTGACCTATGTTTAGCACTCATTTTTGAAGGGCTGTTCTGTTTGGAGTAAGTGTAATTCTGATTCACCCAAATCAACAGCAATTTAGCCATTGATCTCAGTGAGATGCAGATTGGACCTAATGATTCATGCCAAATGTAGCCTGTTTCAGCACTTTGGAGATGAAACACTGATTTGTATTGATTGATGGACCAAACCCAGAATGATACAGCACTGCAACAGACAAAGTTCAATAGATAAAAAACTCTATTGTTTCAAAGTTGTAGATCCAAAGCCCACCTACCACAAGCCCCTTCTTTTGTTTTCAGTAGAACTGATTGTTGAAGTAACTATACAAATTGTATATAAGCTTGGGGAGCTCATGTATATGCAAGAGCTCTGTATGGTATATTATCTGACTGATTCATACTGACATTTAAAAGATAAGACCTTTGAAATTTGGTTTGTACATGAGCCGACACTTCCTGTCTGAAAATAGAATATGATTCACTTCTCTGCTTGGAAATTTGAGGCATGACATCTCTTTTAATAGTATTAGCTACCAATAATAGAATAACCAAAAACTGAGATGAAATAGAATGTTAATGTATAAGCGTTTCATTTTCCATGTTAATTTTACTGAAGCTCTGTAAGTATTTTCTTTTTCAAAGGAGTAATTTTTAAAAAATGATAAAATTATTTATCTAACCATATTGGCATGTACTACAAAATAAAAGCTTGTGTACTAGATGTTTAACTTACCTGGAAAAGCATTTGCAGAATGCTAAAAAGGAAGCCATCAAAATCAACTGTTTTTTAAATCATTCAAATAGTGGAAGGTACATGAATGAACACAGGGGGAAAAAAAAAACCCAAAATATTTGCAAAAGGTATTAAGAATGTAATCCTAAACATATTTGCTTGTAAGTAAAACTCATTGAGTTCAGTAGAACAGATAAATGTGTACAAAAGGTGTCAGCAACCTTCCCAGGTTCTAATTTCCACTTCCAAAGTGTTTATGTTTAAGAAAATGAACTTTTCCAAGTTAGTTAAACCTTACAAGATTTCGGAGGGCAGAGCTGGCGTCGCGGTGGTACGGCGGGCGATCCTGGGCTCCCAGGATCGCAGCCGATATCTCCCCCCCTGGACGGTCCCGATGGACCTAAGCCGTCCCGTAGAGATGGCGATTGCAAAGGACGTGTCCCGCGGATCTCAGGGACGCCGCAAGTCCCAGATTGATCCCGGGAGAAGCTCTTGAAGCCGGCGGAGGAGAGCCAGCCAAAAATGGCTGCAAAAGCCAGGACAGCTCCAAAGGAAGAAGAAAGAGAGGGGTGTCAACCGGGTTGAGTAACTTAAAGAGATTTTTAAAAGTGAAGAAAAATGGATCAAGCGGCAAGATTGAGCCTTATAAAAAAAAAAAAAAA